AGCCTTCGGTCAACTGGTTCAACACGTTGCTGTCGGGAATCAGACTGTAATCCAACCTCTGTCGGAGACTGCTTTGGGTCCACTGGTTGTGGATGCAGTCGCCAAACTCCTGCCGCGCGGTTGTCGGAGACAGGTATGTTATCATCCTCAACTGACCTGTTTCATGGTCTGCCATGTTTAACCCTGGGCGATTTTCCCCCATACAGTTCGAATATAAAGCAAGGAGTACACCATAGGAGCCTGGATGTAGCTCAGTGACAATACCGACCGATTGTTAAAGTGACAGCATGGTCATCAGTGAAGTTTAGACCAGTTTGATATCTAATCACTGGTTACGACATCCGCACATCGGTATCGATTTCCGAATGACTTCGATCTATGGAAATCTAACACGATGATCACCATCGTGCAGCGAGATAAGGTGAGGCGAACTTCACCGATTGCCGCCAAGCTCACAATGTACACAGATCAAGTGATAAAGTACAATATGGAGAGGGATTGGGCCGACTTAGAGGGAGGCAAAGAAAAATAACCTCTATGATCAACACACGCGGAGTACACAATCTCAGTGTGCATACATACCTTTTCAAGCATCGAACCTGATAAAAAATGACAACACGAACGCCACTACTGTCGGTTAGTCGCCATATCCTTCAGGGTCTCCAACCAGCCAGTCATGACGATCTCAGCCCACCGTTTGGGAGTCCCATAGCTTTCCTAGGAATGTTGCTTCAGCCTCTGTCAATCCCAGTCTCATGGCGCAATTCAATTAATAAATGAATCTCGAAGGAGATAACCACCCGCATTTCCAAGGCTCGAGCCGCGTACGCAGGACTAAAATACCTGTGGCGGCGAAGTAACGGGTCATTGAAGTGGAAAAGTCCCATATACTGCGCCACTGTACGATCAGTTCTATTTTACGGTTGTGAGACCTTGACTTTACGGGTAGAAGACACCCATCGTTTAGCAGTTTTCGATAATCGATGCTTACGTAGTCTGGTTCAGGTTGGATGGAATGAGCATGTTAGTAACTTAGAAGTAAGTCGTCGGGTGTTTGGGAATTCATCGAACAAGAGCTTGCTATCTCATCGAATCGAGCTCAGTAGACTCCGTTGTTTAGGACACGTTTTGTGTATGTCCAACGGTCGCCTACCTCAGCGCGCCATGTTCTCCGGGGCTGTTGTACGCTGAAGAAAGCCACGTGTAGGCCGGCAGATGATCTGGAGACGAGGCATGAAGAAATGCACAGAGCGATTAGATGGAGTAGGTGTCTCTCGTCTTCCGGGTTGGTGTCCGGAAGACTCCGTAGCTGCATGGTTGGAGACACTGAAGGTCATGTCTGCGAACCGACAGCAATGGCGATCATGCTGTCACTTCTTATCAGACCAGAATGCTTGAACTAGTATGTATGCACAGTTGGACTGTGTACTCTGTGTTGACCGTAGAGGTTTGCTATCTTTTCCCCGTCCCTAAAATTAAGTTCAATCTCTATCCTCCTTACACCCTGTCACTTGCCTTGTATGCAATATGAGTGAAGTTCGGTTCACTGTATTACGCTGTACAATGATGATGACGAATGATTTTGCCATCTTTCGACGGCCAATTTGGTCTAACCATAGTAAAGGGATAATCGTGAGCGATAGAAAGTCGATAGCAGTACCTGGATGAAAGTAGAGAGAGAGAGTTCAGGTAGACTAAATTAGAATATAGATACACGAACGCTGCTATCCACTTTACTGTCACATATGTCATTATCTTTGATTAGCGATTATAATGATTCTGAAGTCTCGAACCAAAATGCCTAACGCGATCTATATGACCACATCTTCGGATTAGGTTTTTATATCCGTTTCCTAGGTCTTAGTTCGANGTTCGATCACCTTAGACTCTACACTCTTCACTGGGGTCCTGGTAATCATCGGATGATTTGAATTACCTAAAACTCTACTTCTAATTTTGGTTATTCATTTGCCCCACCGGACTCATACAATGAGATGTGGGCATCAGTGTTCGAACACCAACAAGCCTTATTCTTCTCCTGTAATGGGTGTCGTATCGTTCAAGACCAGTGACGAAAAACGCACAACGCAATAACACATAGCCCGGAACCGACGTGGAACACAGCATATCCTACACAAGTTAGCACAACGCATTAGAATTGGTGCTCAGCGATGATGGACGACGGAAACACAGATTGGATACTCGTAGTTGACGTGGACGATATCACAGACTGCGAACAGATACAGAGATACGAGGTAGGTTCAAACAGAACGGAGCACGTAATTCAATGGCCACGCACAAGTCGTCTAGCCCGAAGAGTACATTCACAGCACACATTGCACATTCAAAGCACCAATAGCCTTCTCCCAGCTATGGAACTGAGAGCACGGGCGGTGAGCAACCAACGTGTATTTGACTCGCCAAAAGCAAGTCAGATTTACAGTGTAAACGTTCAGTTCAGTTTTTTACAACCATTAGCCACGTGCACTTTCGTGCGCCGGTTCTGGTTGCTGTCTTCAGGTTGTCCATTTCGATAAAACTATGGAATGAGGATTGGAATACTGAGAGCAAATTCAAGCGAAAGGTAGCGAATTTATATAGGCTGAAGTTACACGAACAATAAGTAGATACCTGAATGCCACTGTTCGCGACATCCAGCTTTATCACTCAGTGTCTCTAACCATCGGTGACCATCACCTCGGGGTCAACAGCCAGGGAGCCTAACGGGACCTATGTGACCCAGTCTCCTGGTTTGGGTTTTCATACCCTCATGCCAGGTTTTGGTTTGACGTCCCTTGATCTTTTTCCAACCGTTTCCTGCCTCGGCATACATCGCTCGCCGTGTAAAACCGTCTGTCTGAATACTGTCCTGGTCTCTGGACATAGAAACTTTGAAAATTGATGCAAAATCAGCCACCAGGTGGACGATGAGGGCCGAACTGGTGCGAAAAAATATTGAATTAAAAAAATTCAAAATACTCGATAGATAGGCAGCTTCAAGTAAAATAATCTTTTTATCTGCTAAAGGTTAGGGATCACACAGCAGCAGCACTGTTTCAACTACTGCAGAATCTATCCTTCACGAACAACCGGATGTCGTGCGGGTACTAGAGATGTCTCAAAACTCTCGAATCCCAACGAGGCGTTCTGTGTGCATGCAGACACCAAATCTGAAATTTCACATCGAGACATACAAAAACAAGTAGTGAGTGACTTGGTCATCGCAACTGGTGCCCGGGGACATGCACTTGGTTCGTTACAGTTGTAACCCCCCATCCCCACCCCCAAGTTATTATCGGTTNCACTTTGTTTTCGATTTTCTTCACTAGGATTTCTGTAGGTGAATTGATGAGTAACCGGACGAATATCGCTCTGCCAAACAGTCCAGCTCTGTCCTCATCGCATAAAACAGTTTCTGCCACATTTATACAACACTCTCGAATATCATCAAATCCGCTTTCTATTTATGCTGTGAGGGTTTTTAAAACAGTTATCCTAACTCCTGTTTGTTGCGTTTTTCTGCCATTTAATCAAAGCATGTGTAGAGGGGAGTAGGGGTTAGAACACAATGATGAATCAGACTTTTTGTAGAGATGAAGCAAAACTAACCATACCCTTTTCCACACACCGCACGCGCTCTATGCCATGTTCTAGGTTGTTCGCAGTCCGGACTACGTGCCCGCATTTCAGTGTAATTTGCTTAGCCTTACTGCTGAAGCACAGCCACCGGAAATCGATTGGAATCCGGGTGACGGAGTGCTGTTTGTTGCAGTCATACGTTTACCGCGTCAACCGTCATCTGCGGCCCTGTATACGGATCAGTTTGATGAAATCAGTGCGAAATATGCCTCTTTTGTGAACTCGGTGAGTTTGTGTTCGATCCCCCCAACTCTAACCCTGTTCTGAATCATTCAGTATTATCGGAATTCTACTCGTCGCACGAAACGTTTTTCTTTTTCATAAAGAATATTGTACCATGATTTGTTTGGCATACAGTCTGGATTCAGACGTGTGAATATCTATGTATATATATTGAAAAGGGGAAGGCGAGTACTGAGCGGTAGTATTTATTATGACGTTTCGATCCAGACGAGGACCCGTTGTCAAACGATAATACG